ATCTTTCTCTTTGTCCTCTGTCTGTAACTTGTAATTTTCCTCTGCTTGTTTTTGCGATTTTTCTCTTTGTTGCTGGTGTCAAACAAATTGATTATGATGTGCTTAGGTGTAATTTTCATTACGTTTCTTATGCTTTGGGGTCATAGAACTTCTTGCATATGTGGGTTCATAATTTCATCACATTGACACATTTTTAATCACCTTTACTTCAAATATTTTTTCTGTCCCTTCCTCCCACATTCACCCTCAGAGATTCACATTCATGTACATTGTAATTACAACCACCCTTCAAGAGGTCTCATAGCTCATGGATGCTCTTTTTTCCCTTAGTCACTTACTCTATTTGGATGGCTTCTATTGCTACATGTTCAAATTCCTTAATCTTTTCTTCTATAGTATTTAATCTGCCACTGTTCTCATCAAGTATAATTTTTAATTCAGGCACTGTGTTTTGAATTCCTTGAAATTCAATTTGGATCTTTCTATAACTTATTTGTCTCGAATTAACATGGTCAGTCCTAATTTTAACTTCGTAAGTACATGGAATACAGTTATAACAACTTTTAACATGCCCTTTCATATTAACTCTATCATCTGCATCATTTATGAGTTGAGTTCCATTTATGGACTTTTCTTTTCCTGTGCGTCATACTTTCCTGATTCCTGTCAAGAACTATGAAGACTCTGAGATTTTACCCTGCTTGAGCCACAATTCCATGGATGCTGACAGAAGACAAAGACTTCTGGATCAAAGATAAAGAACAGTTTATTATTCAGAGAACTCACAGTAACCAGAGTATTAGTGTCTGTTCTCTCAGTCCTGATTCCCACATGGTGCCATAGGTGGACCAGCTGATTCCTGCACACTCAGTGGGTGATATCATAGGGGAGGAATCTTGAACTTAGAGAATGTATTAGTCTATTTTCATGCTGCTATGAAGAAATACCCAAGACTGGGTAATTTATAAGGAAAAGAAGTTTAATGGACTCACAGTTCCACATGGCTAGGGAGGCCTCATAATCATAGTGGAAGGCAAGGGAGGTGCAACTGCATGTCTTACATGGTGGCAGGCAAGAGAGTGTGTGAAGGGAAACTCCCCTTTATGAAACTATCATATCTCGTGAGGCTTCTTCACTATCATGAGAACAGCATGGGAAAGCCCACCCCCGTGATTCAATTACCCCCCACAGGGTCCCTCCCACAACACGTGTGGATTATGGGAGCTACAATTCAAGATGAGATTTGGGTGGGGAGACAACCAAACCATATCAGAGAATCTCAAGACTCTCTCAACCTTTTAAAATGCACAATAAGTATGTATGCTCTTTAATTTGAAGAGAAACATGATCCTTTTCAAAGACAGAAGCAGTGCCTCTGCTCACAAAATATGCAGAAGTATGAAAGACTCATGGAGAGTTGTCTTGCAATACTTCTTTGCATGCCTGGTAATTTTGTTGATTTTACTCTATTGGGTATGAGATATATTTATAATTTTTATAAATATTTTTGAGCGTCATTCTAAAATGCAGTTAAGTTACTCAAGAGATATTCTGATCCTTTCAAGTCTCACTTTTAAGCTCTACTGGGGAGGACAGGAGAAGCAGTTAGTCTATTGCCTGTTTTGCTCCACTACTAAGGCAAAAACCTTCCCAGTTCTTTATGAATGTTTAGGCTTTCCAGCCTGGCTGGTGTGAACAGGCACTTCTAGCCCTGCATAAGCTCCAGGTATTACTCTCTCAGATCTTTTTTAGTGTTCCTACCCAGTTGAAGACTGAGGGGTTCCTTCTGTAGACCTCTGAGCATTCCCTCTGTGGAGCTCTCTTCTCTGTAGAATGCTACCTTGCAAACATTAGCTACCTTGGCCTCCCAGGACTCTCACCTCTGTCTCCTCAATGTGGAGAGTTTGCTGGGCTCCCTCTGGGTTCCTCCTCTCTGCACCACAGCCTGGAAACTCTCCAGGCAGCCAGCTGGGCAATTACAGGGCTCACCTCATTTCCTGACTCTCAGGGGCCACTGAGACAAAGTTTCAACACTAATTGGTACTTTTTTTTTTTTTTTTTTTTTTTTTTTGAGACGGAGTCTCGCTCTGCCGCCCAGGCTGGAGTGCAGTGGCCGGATCTCAGCTCACTGCAAGCTCCGCCTCCCGGGTTCACGCCGTTCTCCTGCCTCAGCCTCCGGAGTAGCTGGGACTACAGGCGCCCGCCACCTCGCCCGGCTAGTACTAATTGGTACTTTTACTCTTCATGTTAATGGAAAAACATTTGAACACTTAAAATGAATTTACCTCATTCCAATAAATGCCATTATTGTGGTATATTTTAAGGTTATGTATATCTTAACTCCATAAGACATTACTGTCAGTATTGATTTATACCATCAATATTTATCTAGACTTATCCAATAATTACCATTTACCTTGCTCTTAATTCCTTCCTTTATCTTTGGCCTTCTGTTTGGGATAAATAGCTTTCTACTTGCAGAACACCAGAATTCTCTGGTGATGAACTGTGCCTTTCTTTTTGGTCCAAAACGTCCTTCATTTACCTTTATTTTTGAAACATACTATTCCCCTGGGTTTAGAATTCTTGGTTCACAGCTATTTTGTTGTATTATCTTCTTATTTTCATTATCCATATTGAAAAGTCAGCTATCAGTCCAAGAGCTTGAAGACAGATTTTAGATGTTTTGTTTCTCTTTGGTTTTCTGGAATTTTACTATGATGGGTCTTGTTGTGGATTTATTTATTTATATTATTTATAATATTTATATTTCTGTATATTATTTATTTATTTACTATGATGGGCCTGGTTGTGGATTTATTTATTTATATTTATTCTGCTTGGAGTTCAAAGGGCTTTTGGAACATTTGGCTCTGATGTCCTTCATCAATATGGGAAATTTCTCACCACATTCTTCAACTATTGCTTCTGCCCAATTGTCTCCCTCCTTCCTGTCTGGGACTCCAACTGTACTTGTGATAGACTTTGTCATAAGATCCTTAATATCTTTTTCCCTTTCTTTAGTGTTTGCCATCCTTTTTCCCCTACTGTTTTTGTTTATTTTGGGTACATTCTGACCTAACTTCTAGTTCAGGAATCTTCTTTCAGCTGTGTCTAATATGTTGTTCAATCATAAATTCATTCATTGAATTCTTAATTTCAGTTACAGCATCATTTACTTCTAGACTCTTTCATTGCAAAATTTATTTTGTTTTGAATTCCTAGTTCTCAGCTAAAATTTCCAATCTTATCTTTATCTCCTTATACATACTCAGCATAATTATCTTATACTTTGTGTTTATAACTCTAATATTTTCAGCTCATATGAACTTACTTCTCTTGCCTTATTGTTTTGTTTTTCATGTTACCCTTTTTCCCTCATTTTTGGGGGTATTTTTTATGTGTGTGTAGGACATTATATTTTGCAAATTATTTACATAAATGATTTGAAGCCTATAACACTCTTTTTCACTCCTGGTAAATATTTTACATTTGCTTTTCTTAGATGCCTGAGGGGACTAGCAATCTGGGCTGGTCTTAACTTAATGTGGGGATTGAGATGATTTGAAGCTGGGCAGCAGTCCAAGGCCAATCTACTGCTCATTCATTCTTCCTGCTAGGATACATATCTTTGGGATTTCAACCCCAAAACAGAGAGTTTATCAGGAGCCATAGCCTTTTTCAGCAACGGAGCTCCAGACACCTTCTGTAGAATCAGCAAATGCCCTAAGGTAAAAAGAGTTTCAAAATTCTGGGCTAACATATCTGGAGGTTCATTGCTTCCCAGAACTTAGCTTTACAGTTCTTCAGTATCTTATTAGCTCACTGATGCCTTTAAATAGTCTCTCTCTCTCCATATGTATATGTATAATATATAATACATAAATATATGTATTTTTTGTTAGTTGTCTTCAGTAGGAGAAATGGTCTAAGTTAGACTTTCATTATTGAATGTTAGTCTCTCCTTTTTCTCATTTTCAAACAACACATACTATAAATTTCAAAGTTAAAGACATATATTTAGGTAAGACATTTTGATCCTAATTTTGAATAGTTATTTCAAAATTATTTGATAGAACATAATTATGTCAACATTTTCATACATTTAATTAGTCTCTTACCATATAGTCCCTTTCAAATGTGCCTTCCTCAGTCTTGAGTTTTGTCTTCCTTTCTATATTTATTGTTTTTGCTCAGGCCTTCTGTTAGTTTATTCAGAAAGGATAACAAGGTGGCATATTTTCTTAATCTTTGTATTCCTGAGAAAATATTGCTCTGACTTCATGTATAAATAATGACTTCATTAAATATGGAAACTGTGCCCTTTAGACCTCTGGAAACTGTGACTCTATTTTCTTCTAGCTTTTAGGGTTGTGGAAGAAGAAAGTTAAGGCTAATCTGATTCTGGTGGTTTTAATTACTACCTGATTTTGACTATGCTTAAAAAGCCTTTATCATTTATCTTCAGAAATTCCGTGAAGCTATGCAGATGTCTGTTATGAGTTTTTCCTTTGCCTATAAATATAATGTGTACTGTCATGTTTTGGGTGGAAGAACTGGTTTACATCAGGACATTTTTTTTCTGTTATTTTTCTAAAGATTGTTTCATTTCTGTTTGTTCTATATTCCCTTCTTAATATCCCAAGAATATGTGGATTTAATCCCCTGCATTTATTCTCCATGTTTTTCAATGAAATATTTATTCTCATTGTTATAACACATTCATCTCAGTGTTTGCAAACCCAGTGCTTATAGAATTCAGGCAAGTAACAATAGTCAAAATAAATGAAGCCAGCCTGGCACAAAAGTAATGAGTGATGAGGATTCTGGAAAGCAAAAGTGTCATCTAAAGATGGCAGCTACTGATCAACTGGTATTCAGTGCTAATAAAGTGTTATTGGAATTCAATATTTTTCCAGAAAAATTCAAGTCTGTGGGTTTTTTTTTTCCTATTTCACAGCAGAAGAAAAGAAAAGCTAATAAAGGATTTCACAACTTACCATCGGGATGATCTTGGTCACACACAGAATGATCTGTCACTTCGCCGCCTTTTGTAATATTGTCATCCTTTGCAGAATCTAACAACCACCAAGCAAAACCTTTAGTCAGCATTTTTAAATTGGAAATAGAGCAGCTTTCAGCACTAACATGATAGACTTATGTTTGAGGAAAAATAGAATTTACTACTTTAAAAAATAACCGCAAATACATATGTTTGCCAATAAATAGGCGCTTCCCCACCCCCCCGCCCCGCCCCCGTACTATGTGAGATATCTGCTCAAAGCTTACAAAGGCAGAGATGTAGCTAGCTGGGATATCTTTTTGCAACAAATAAGAAAATAAAAGCAATCTTTTTGCATCAGGGAAAGTCTTAGAACTGTAGGAAAGGATAAAAAAGGAAGGCAAAATAGAGAAGATTAAAGGACTATCTAATTTTAATGTTCTTAATGCTTCCATTACTGTGGTTGCTCACATATGGGAGTCTTGAGTCCTTGAAAAAGTCAGATACAGAACCTTGAAATCCAGTGGTAATTAAGTTCATCGTCCTCGGAAACCATAACAGTAGAACAATAGCATAGAAGGAATGCAGACCTTCTGGTCTCTGCAAGGTCATTCCCTCCCTCATTTAGCACATTTAAACATGGAATCATTGTACACTTATTATTATTATTTTTTTGTTATAGGATATGGTTACAGGAAAAAAACATGGCTAAAAGGATTCCGTGACTATGGGCTATTGCAAAACTACAAAGGGCTTCTTGCTGAATATTTAGGTCTCCCTGGAGGCTGTTTAAAAAAGCATTGGAATGATCCTGTGAATGGATCAACAGGAAGACAGCAAGTAGGTCTCTCATTCATTTTCCAAACATTTAATAATGGCCAAGTATATGCCAGACACTTTTTTTAGAAAGAGTCTCTGTTACCCAGGCTGGATGCAGTGCTGCAACTGTAGCTCACTGCAACCTCAAACTTCTGGGCTGAAGTGATCCTCCTGTTCCAGCCTCTGTAGTAGCTAGGACCATAGGCATAGGCCACCATGCCCACTTAGTTTTCTAATTTTTTGTATAGGCAGGATTTTGTAATTTTGCCCAAACTGGTCTTGAACTCCTGGCCTCAAAGGATCCTCCTGCCTCATTCTCCCAAAGTGCTGGGATTATAGGTGTGAGCCATCACACCTCACTAAACTTGATGGTGGGGAGCCAACAGGAAACAAAATACCAAATCTCTGCCCTCATGGAGCTTATAGTCTAGTAGATATTTTTCATGCTGCTGTAAGGAAAGCAATCCAAAGATATCTAAAAGTCATAAGCTAATCCTGTAAGCATGTGGCCATGGAGAAAGCTGGGGGTGGTACACCAACACCTTGATTACTTACAAATGGATTCTCTACTGAATTTGTGTCTCTTGGTTGAGTTTTAACTCCCTAACAGAGTTGAATCAGATGGAGTCTAAAACAAACTATTCTTTGTTTGTTTCCTTTTCCTCCCTCCCTCTGTCTCTCTCCACTCATTTCCTCTCAAAATTAGGAGATAGCTTTAAACAACATGGTTTGGAATATTATGAGAAAGTTTGTTTCTTGAACCTGCCACAAGCAACATTTGATGGACAAGTGAGAAACCTGGGTAGTTAACATATGATTCAAATTTAATAACCAGTGAAGCAAGTATTAATATATACCCGAAGTGTGTGGCTTTAATTAACTGCAAATAATTCCCCCAAGGCAAATGTTTAATTATCTGCACTGCTTCTTATTTCTTTCTGAGACTGACAATAAGTCTAAAAGTCCAAATTTGGAAGCAAAACTGAGCACAGACACATTTGCCAAAGTGTTATGTAACTCATGTCAAATTGTTTTAAACCAGCTCCCATTAAAAAATGCTCTTTTAATTTCGTAGCTAAGATGCCAATTGAAAAAAAAATTTTGAATATTTTTCTCACATGAACACTAAAAATATACAATGATTTAAAAAGGTATTATATAGATCAGGCTAAATTTTAAATTTGAAAGTGTTTTAGTTTTAGTTGTTTATTAAAAATGATATTATTTGATATTTCGTCTTGTACAACATTAATTTCTCTCAACATCAATGTTATAGAATTATCCAAGATTTTGTATTTAGTTAAAATTTATTCATTTACACTGAATAATTCATTGTTGTTAATCATAATGTTACATAAACATTATGATTCTGCACCAAATATCACATAAGAAATGTCTCTTCAATGGTGATTTACATTGAGTTTACAAGTTTATGATCTAATGAGTCACATAAGATGGGTGAAAGCATTTGAAAAATTACTCACCAGACTGTATCTGTTTTATCACCAAAATCTGTGTCTTTAGCAAATAAATTATCTTTGTAATTTCAGTATTCTTGGGGAGTTGCTTTAACATTATTGAGGCACCTTCTGATATGTTTCCATATAATGCATTTCATTGCATCCAAGATACCATCAGTTGTTCTTTGCACTATTATTTTGTGTAGTATAACACATTATCAGTTCTAAGAGAAGTCCTGACTTTAGAAATAAAATATATGAAAGAATATGCATTTTAGAAAAATGCCGTTTTAGTATATTCGATGTGTGCACACAAATATACATGTCTTTATGTGATGACAAGGATTTCATATCAGCATGACCCACCACCAAACCCACAAGCTCACTGTCATGTATGTGAGACTTTTCTCCAGAAATGGTTCTACCTCCACGCACATCAATAAAGTAGGAGGAAAAGTACTATATAACCTCATGACAATATTCACAAATAAGCAGGTACCTACCAAAGTTACTTTATTTATAGGGATCTCAGAATTTCTAGTCTCATAAACTTTAGCAGGCCTAGATTTGATTCTGTATCTTTTACATCATGGATCTCATTACATTATGTTTAGTTGTAGGTTTGAAGTGGCAGTGCAGCTTTTCTGCTTAGGGGGTGATGAAAGCTGCACTGGATAGGTACATGAAATCCTTACTCATAATGCTGGAGAAAGAAAATATATATATTCATGATCTGAATATTTGTGTCCCCCTAAAATTCCTAAGCTGAAATTCTAACTGCCAAGGTGATGGCATTAGGGGGTGGGGCCTTAGGAAGGTGATTAGATCATAAAAGTGGAGCCTTCATGAATGAGATTAGTACCCTTAAGAAAAAGATTTAAAAAGGTCCCAGAGAGTCCCCTTACCCTTTCCACTATGTGAGGACACAGTTAGAAGGCACCATCTATGAACCAGAAAGTGAGTTCTCACCAGATACTGAATCTTCTGGTGCCTTGATCTTGGACTTCCCAGTCTCCAGAACTGTAAGAAATGAATTGCTGTTGCCTATAAGCCACCCAGTTAATGCTATTTTGTTGTAGGAGCCTGGACTAAGACACCAGTGTATATGGCCACTAAAATAACTTATTATTTCTATGTAAGTTCTGTAAACTACACTAAAAATGTAGTTGCATAGAGTAAACTCTTACAGCCCCTTGGATTTGCATTTTATTTAATTCTAAAAATTATCATTTGGTAATGTTCAAAAACGTGTAAAATAGTTATCACCTAATTCTGAGATTCAGTCAATGTTATTTTAATAACAGAGAACTGGAATTAAATTTATATGTAGCTTCTGACTTTCAAAATCTTTAAGGTCAATGTCATATTTAAAGAATTTTTTCAAATGCAAATATTAAATCAAATATTCAAGCCAAAGGGCTGTAGATAGATGTGCTTTTAAGATTAACCAGAATAAAAAAGAAACACTTTCATAAATTAAAAAAGAAAAAGCCCTCACTTAGAAAGTTGAAAAGGTTTAAAGGAATATTTAAAATAGATTAAAATAAAATGAAAAACCTCATAAAACAGAAATTCTGAAAAGTAGGTCACCTTCAATGCAGTTAATTACACATATCTACATGGAATATTACATGTATGGATTTAAGCTGTGGCGAAAGATGATGAAACTATTGAATTTTTAACAAAAATATCTTAACTGTAAGTGAAAATAAATACTATCTCTATCTAAGATGTCCCTTTAGAACAAAAGTTCTTAACCCTCAGGGATCCCTGGGTATGCTATATGTGTCTACCAATCCTTTTGAAAAGATATGCAAAATGTGTGTATATGTTTGTATTTCTGGCAGAAGATAGCATCCACCATATTAGCTCTATGAACCCACCAAGGTTAAAAACAATTTAAAATGTGTACCTCAATGCCAGTGATACTGCCATTTTACAAAAGATTTTCCAGACCATTTTGAGAAATTAGCTACTGAGCTTGATTCCTGCTCCATGAATTAATCAATGATGGCAAATCTTGAATTCTTAAGGTAGATGTGATTTGAGAAAATAGCCAACAAATATAGAGATGTGTTAAATAAATGAGAGGGATAATCCAACTGGCAAAAAACCATGTTGCATCAAAATTAGAGGTGATTATAAAGTATAAAACTGACTGCATGATTAATTGTCTTTGAAGATAACTATTCAAGCTACGTGGTCTAAAAAATGCACCGAGTAAGAGAGGAAGCCCCTGACTATTATTCAGAGTGATGATAGGAGGTCATTTTGGTATAGAAGTTCTAATGGGTCTGAACAAAAAAAAATGCTATACACAAAAACGGAAACATAAAATAGTCTTTCTCTGTAATGCATAAATGTCTACACATGAGTACCAGAGCTTGATGCAAAAATTGCACAGAAACACCATCACCTGGATTTTCTTTGATTCTTGTTAACTGATTTGATTATACCATGCAAAACATTTATCCTGGCCTGCTCGTTAGAATCTCTGGCTTATTATGTGAAGCAATTAGGACAAAGTAATTCTTCCTCCATCTGAACCAGGTGCTTTTCTAAATAAACGAGAGTCTCCCCAGTCGATAATGTTCTTACTGAAACTTTGCGGCGGCTATTCTTTTATATAGGAAAAAACTATCCTGCAACACATTCCCAGACTATTCTGATGCTGATGATCTGAACTGGGCTTGGTCCCAGTGAAGCTGGATAAACAAGGCTGAACTATATTTACCTGAAAAGTAACAGGGCCCATAGACAGGACAATGCTCAGGGCATCAGGAGACCCAAATGAGCT